GGGATGAATTCCGGTAGTTTTAGGACAAATTTAAGCATTAATTTAAGTGGGATTTATGTGATTGAGTGTTAATTGACTGCTGTGTGATTTTTGGAGAAAATCCCGTGAGATTAGCTAGTGTTTTGGCCAATTTTGGAAGTTGGAGTTACTGTTCACGTCGAGGTCACTGTTCATGGCACTGTTCATAGATTACTGTTGACACACCGAGGGTCAACGATTAACGGGGATTTAAATGATTAGTTTGTGATATAAGAACGAATTTGGAGATATCTAATAATGTGGAGATTTATAAAAATAGCATCGTGATTAAGGGTAGTCTTAATGATGATTTCAGTATGAATTTGTAATGGTATGGTATTAATTCTCGTATATTTGATTAGGTTCTTGATCCTTGGGGTACTTTAGTACGTGAATTGAGTGCTCGGTTTTATGCGATTTGAGGTAAGTAAATTTATGGTAATGCTCGTATAGCTTTTAAAAGTATGTTTTGATTTGTTTTTGAAGTGGTGGCGGGATTAAACCTGTTTTACACAAGTCTGATCAATTGAAATGAAATTTTATGTTTTTCAATAAATTGAGCATGCCTACTTAAAAGTTTAATTGATTGTCCTAATGATTTGAAAGTGATTGGTGAATTATGATTTTTCTATTAACCTCTGCCTGTTTTGTCTCCGATATTGTCTCCGATATGGTTATGTTATTGATAACCCTGCTAGTGGGGGTTAAACGCTAGCATATGTCGACATGTATTTCTGTAGAGCCGATTCCTCCTGCCAGTGGGAGTTGTTAAACACTGGTATTTCTGTAATCCTGCTAGTGGGATTTTACACTAGTAAATTCTGTAGCCTGCCAGTGGGAGGTTTATAACACTGGCCGTGACCTATAGAGGAGACATCTATTTTGTTCCCGTACTGTAACCATTTTTCGTGATTACACTTGTTGGCATGCTATAAGTTTAATAAGGGGCACTCTATATTTTACGTACTGAGTTTATCTCATAGTTTTTCCTTATCCACCATTTCAGAAAGCGAAACCGAGAACGGGGAAACCCAAGGGAAGTGATGAGTTAGAAGGTTAGCCATTTCGAGATTGATATAGATTTTAGATATAGATCATGATCTTGTAAACTAGATTTTAATTGGAGATTTTATGATATGAGAGAAAATCTTATAATTTTATCTTCAGATTTTGGTGGTATCAGATTGTGAATTTGATAAGTTTCGAACCTTGTGCATTTGTAGGACCCTCTCACGAGTGCACGGCGTCTGCCACGTCTCCGGATTTGGGTTCTGGGGCGTGACAGTTAGTGTGCTAGATAAATTTGAGTCTAAGATTTCTATGATAAAAAAGTCTTGTGACCTCAAAAAGCTAACCATTACTAAACTCATAAGCAAGCTTCAGGCTCACGAGCAAAAGCTAGTTATGAAAACTGATGAGACTACAAAAGGAGCCTTCCTTGCAAGGTAAAAAGGCAAATAGCCAATCACTAGTTTTGAATGCAATAAAACCATGAGTTCTAACCAAACATATCAATATCATCAATAAAGCAAAAAAGGAGGTCCCGTTAATGCTATCATTGTAGAAAAACAAATCATAAAGAAAAAGATTGTTGGTTCGAAGGCAAATCACAAATTTAGTGTAGATTTTGTAAAAAGTATGGCCATATTGAGAAGAATTGCAAAGTTAAAGAATTGCAGAGTTAAGCAATAGCGACAACATCAATCATAACATCAGCACACTTAGTACAGACTAAAGTAACAATAGCCAATTAATTATGCTGAAGATTAGTGCAAGGATAACTACTTATTCATGGTGTCACAAGGTTTATCATTGCCATCTAGTACTTGGTTTGTTGATATGGCCTGAGATGAAAGTCTCTTCATTGAAATAGACAAATCAATTATTACAAATATCAAGTTAGGAAATAGTACTATTGTGAGATTAGAAGGGAAAGGTACTATAGTTATTCAAACTAAAACAGTTGCAAAACGAATTAGTGATGTCCTATTTATTCCTAGCTTGAGCTTGAATTTACTCTTTATTGTACAAATTATGAAAAAAGGATACACTATCTTTTGAGCATGATTCATGTTTTAGTTATGACCCTACTGGTGATGAGATAGTTAGGGTGAAAATGGTAGAAAACAGCTTTCCTTTGAATTTGAAAAAGGGGCAGCATTGTTTTTCTGCTTCTAAAACTATGGATGCAAATTTGTGGCATAAAAGATATGGTCATTTCAATGTGAAAGGCCTAAAATATATGCAAACACATGAGTTTGTTTGAGATTTGTGAAAATTGTATTTAATTGACAGTGTGTATAAAGGTTGTCAATTAGGCTAGATGCATAAATTCCCATTTCCTATGAATAAATCTTTGAGAGCAACTCAAAAGGTTCAACTAGTGCATACAAATATTTGTGGTCCTATGAGAACACCATCTCTTAATCAAAACGAATATTTCATCCTCTTTATAGATGACTTTACAAGAATGACATAGGTATGATC